CATTCATTAACTTGCTCAGGCCCATAAAGCTGTACTAACATGGAAGACAAGCTAAGGAGTCCAAAGAAAGTCCATCCTAGAAGGTCCCCTCTGACTCAGTGGCTTCTATCTCCCTGCCCACTCCCCAACCCCATGGTCTCACCACAAGGGCCTTTCCTCCCACTGGCCTGAGTGCACGCACTTACCTGAAGATAAGCATGCGACGTCAGTGTGCATCCACTACACACCTGTTGGTAAGCTTCTACTATGTGCCCCTCTGGTTATAGAGGTCAACAATAGAGATGAGATCCTGGCTCTCATAGAAATTACACTTCTCTCTCTCTGTCTTCCTTAGTGAAGGAAGGCTTCTTGGAGGATGTGATGTCTGATCCACTGTTTTTAGCCACAGGAAAAAGATCACTCCCTAGCGGGGCTGAGGAAATGTGTGACAGCTGAGCTTCTGCATAATCACAAGAAGCTAGCCACATAAGTCACAATTTGCCACACTTTCATAATGAAGGCACTCCCCCTTGCGCACCTTTTTGACTACCTCCAGGAACCTCCTGAATCATTGTGCACTAGAGAGTTCTCTCCACACTACCTTTTTAAACTACAAATCTGACCACAGTCCTCTCCTGTCTGAACTCCATTTCCCAGGGTCCCGGTCTATGCCCCTAGGCATCACCTTAAAGCTTATTTAACCTGACCCCTACCTGCCTCACAGTCTCTCTCCTGTTCCTGTCTCCTTGCACCGCATGCACTGACCACACCGAACACTAGTCACTTTTCTGCTCTCACAACAGGCTCGTTCTATCTTCATGCCTTTGCACAAACTGCTAACTCAAAAGTCAAGCACCAAGAAGCCAAAGATCTGTGCCTGTTTTGCTCACTATGGTTTCCCTAGATACATATGACCGTAGCTCCTTAGTGGTCAGTAGGGAGAAGGAGAGGGCGGGGGAGAGGAAGTGCTTTAGATAATAGAGATTTCTTAATTTTGATAATGGGAAGAGTGACTCTGATTATGGCCATAGAAAACAGCACAACCAAAATAGGAGCACATACGAGTGGGTGTAGACATATTAGTTGGTACAGCTAGGTTCAGGTGTACACATAGGTGAGAACAGGTTGAAGTATCTATAAAACAAAAAAAAAACCCACTGTCATGGACTTGATTCCAATTCATAGCCACCCTATTAAGTGTTTCCAAGGCTGTAGGTATGTGGTAAAAACAAATGTGTAGATGCACATATATTTATTGAAGACAGAGCATAGTTATTCCATAGACATAAGAAAAAACACCTTCCAAGATTAATTTTCTGCATTTGAAAGTTTAGGATCATGGTCTCATGGGATATCTCAGCTGATCAGCATAACTTAGTTCACTTAAAAAAATTGTTTATGTTTCTTTATTGGCATAATGACTTGGGATTCATTCATGTGTTCTTTTTTGTTCTTAAATCATTTTATTGGGGGCTCATACAACTCTTATCACAAGTCATATATACATCCATTGTGTCAAGCACAATTGTACATTTATTGCCATCATCATTCTCAAAACATTGTCTTTCTACTTGAGCCCTTGGTATCAGCTCCTTATTTTTTCCCTTCCCTCCTGGCCCTCCCTCCCTCACCCTTATAATTGATAAATTATTATTTTTTCATGTCTTACACTGATCGATTTCTCCCTCCACCTACTTTTCTGTTGTCTGTCCCCCAGGGAGGGGATTATATGTAGATCTTTGTGAATGGTTCCTCCTTTCTCTCCCACCTTCCTCTTATCCTCCTGGTATCTCTACTCTCATTATTGGTCCTGAGGGGTTTATCTGTCCTGGATTCCCTGTGTTTCCAGTTCT